AGCCCGGCCATTCCCGGGGCCGGCGGGCACAGCGGGCACCTGGCCCCCCCCACTTACGATGCCGTTCTTCAGCCAGACCTGGAAGCCCAGGCGGCCCCGCTCGGGACGACCCACCGCGGCCCCGCACTGCGCCACGATCCACTCCACCAGCCGGTCCTCCAGCTCGTCGTCGTACTTCTTCTCGATCTTGGACTGGACGTCCCTGCTCATGCCGTACGCTGGGCCCTTGTTCGCCATGTCTGCGGCAGGTGGGAGACCTGGCAGCGGGACGGGGAGCGGCCGGCTGTGGGGGAGCTGTCCCCCTGCCCGGGGACCCTGCGGCCACCCCAGCACCCTGTGGCATCCACCTCTCACCCTGGTGCAGTGGGGACATGCCCTTCTCCCGGTTCTTCCCTTGCCACGCAATGACCCTTCAGCTCCGTCCGGGCACGTTTGGAGGTGAGTGTACGGCCATGACCCCCACAGCCTGCCCGGACAGACGGTTCCCGTCCCAGCAGCGGTGCCTCGTCCCCGCTTCCCGGCTCAGGCCGCGCAGGAGAGGGGCCTCATCCCCATCACCTGCCTGCTCAGCTGCCCACCAGCTCTTGGTTGCCGTGCCCTCCGGCCGGAGCAGCCACGCTGCCCCTACGGGGGCTGCAGAGCGGAGGGGTCCGTGTGGCGGGCTGACCACGGCAGGGCTGGGCGGTTGTGGCACGGCATGGTGGCCGTGGCACAGCGGGGCGGCCACGCCGTGCCAGGGCAGGGTGGCCGTGGTGCCGTGGGGTGGCCTCAGCGCGGCGGGTCCTGGAGCCGGGGAGGAGCGCAGGCGAGGCAGCACCAGGGCGGGAGCCGTGCCCGTGCCCTTGTAAGGGCATGCTGCGGGCAGAGATGGCAGGTAGCCGGCCGCGGGCAGGGCCGGCGGATGCCAGGGAGGATGCCAGGAGGGAGAGGCGCTGGGAGCCGGCAGCCAAGCCCTCGGTGGAGCTGGCCTCGCTCCTCCCCACACGGCTCCCTGCTTGGCATTAAGCCACCGAGTGCCGGGGCTGTGCCCTCAAGGAGCCGTCTGCTCAGTCCCCGCATCCACGCCCTGCCCTGGGCTGGCTCGCCCCAACCGCCGGGCAGATGCACTCTGGCTCCTGCAGCACGGGCTCTGAGACCTGGCACAGCTCGGTGCGGCGGAAGGCGCTGACCCCGCTTGCTGCCGGCAATGCAGGGGTACCCCGTGAGCCCCACAGGCAGCCCGTGCCCAGGTCCCGAGCACCGCCAGGCACGTCCAGCAATGCCACAGCCAGCTCCGCTCTGTGCCCCGGCCGCCCAGTGCCCCGTGCCCTGGCCCAGCCAGGGGGATTGCCTGCGGACCCCAGCCTCGCTGGTCACGGTTCCCTCGGCCACACGGCAGTGCCTGCTGGCC